CTACTTTGTGACTGTGAGCATTACAATTGTGGATTCCATCACACACTTTATATTGTAGCAGCTGATGGCAAAAGCTAACATTACTATAAAGCTATATGTCAGTGAGCATACAATGTATCTACTGCCAGTTGTTTGCAGGCTTGATAATCAAATAGGGCAAAGTAACCATTTGCAAACACACATAGTGCAGCTTGAGTAATGAGCAAACAGTAGCTAGCTTATTCCCAAACAGTGGCAGTACGCTGCCCACATGTCTAAATTTAAACTTGCACAAATGTACAACGACTCACAAAGTACACCTGCTGTAGCACAAAACGTTCCCGTGCATGGCAGCAGCACAACTTGCTAAATAAATTCAATGCATGCATGCATGCATTTTCTTTTATCTTCAGCCAATGATCATTTATGATTAGATTACAGCACTGCCTTCGCTTTTAACTGCAGCCCATAAACCAATTTAGGTCAAGACCCACTCATGAATGAAGCTTATAATGTAGTATTTACACAGGCAGCTTCAAGTCCGATTGAAGTCCGATGACCGATTGTCATTGCACAGTTACACAATGGAGCGTGAAGGACAATTAAAGCTCTGCATAAACAACAGCGATAGGTCACAACAATAATCAGGGTTCCAGTGGGGTGCCTTGAAAGAGAGGGGGGGGAAGTCTCAATAACACTGCCATGACCCCATTTTTTCTTTCCTTGTCAATCATTCACATCTACGAGGCAGGTCTAAAGTTGCGTCTTGAAAGAGAGGCTTCCTCACCCTCAAAGAAAAGACAAACGCAGGCCTGCAAATCAACCACCTACACGACAGAAGGACTTCATAACTGCCAACTGTCTATTTGATTAAACAGGTTTCATTTACTTGGTTTGAACTCTCGCAAAGCCACATGGTAAAATGTACTTTTCAAATGCTCTTGTCCCGAGCAAGGCACATAAAAATATTATACATCGCATTTATCTGCAATATTAACAATAATCTACAACTACTATCTTGAGGTTGTATGCTTCAGTTCGCTGGTGAAGCTTCAGTTTGCATCCATGTCTTTGCAGACTCATTGTATACATTCATGTCACAATGACACAGTGTTCATATTTTTGCTTCTGTAGACCAACACAGCGGATTCAAAATGAAGCGAACGGTATAATGACTGAAGTGTAGTCTTAATTAACTTTTGGAGGTTGCAGTTATTTTCTGACCACTCAAATATTTGGATGGCCTCGTTTGCATTAAATACCTGCACATTAAGAGGTCCAATGAACAGCTAGAAACACTTGGAACCAACTCCAGATCTGTTATGTCTTTAATATATGAAATAGCGAGGACACTGGATACAACTGGCCATGAACATACTTATTAGTCAATGCTTTGGTTCCTTTTGAGCTTGGATGAGTAAGTCCAACATTTTCTGAACAATATTCTGTTAAACATCCTGAATTAAAGTTGACATGTCTTGACTGCTTTACTTCAAAGGACACACACATTTTTCAAATTGTGTGTCCTTGTCCAAATCTATAGACCTGTGTGCCCATGTAGTGAAGGCTCCGGCCACAGACTTTATCAGACGATATGATCACAATTACTTTATTATCTTATTAGACATTAATGCAGTTTAATAATATCAATTTAACAGCGACCTTCCTCTTTGACAACCTACTTTTGTTCC